TTAGGAACATCAAGCATACCATTTAAAGAAGCATCCAACACCACGTTGTCAACACAACATAACTCTATGTTAACCACATCCAAGACAGGAGCAACAATAGGAATAACATCTAAGGAATCCTTACCAATACTAGCTAGAGAATCATCAACCTCTTGCACGAGATCCATTACCTCAATGCCATCATTAACCAAACTATTAGGGGCAACCATTAGCTCAGGAGAGTGAACAACCTCAGAAATCAACACAATCTCAGGAGACATCATAGAAGTTACCACAGGAATGGGCAAACCCAAACTACCACCATCAGCATTGCTTCCTAAATGACCTTCACCAACATCAACAGCCTCCTTAAGAGGATCCAAATCCTCCACCTCATTAACAAGCTCCACGGTGGTGGGCAAAACACTCTCATTACTCGCAAGAGGTTTAGAAGGAGGAATAGTGTTCAGGGAATAACATTCCAACTTTGAATGGCTAAAAGATTTACAGTGCGAGCAATAAGAAGGAAATTCTTCCATGATAACAGCCTGAACATAACCAAAATTTTAAGGGCTAGCCCACACCCAGTTCGGATAGTGTTTGTTCACATCCAGCTCAACTAGAACTAGAGCAATCGATGGCCTAGAACCATAAGTAGTAGCATGGTCGGTTTTAAGAGGCCAACCAAAGAGGGAACCTAATTCATTAAGGATACTGGATGAAAAAAGGTGAGGTCTAAGATGGGGGGAAAGATACCCAAATGGGGATTATGGGAGATTCCACCTCAACATCAAACATGGGAGATCACTTAAAAAGCTTCATATAACAATTGTTCATAAAATAAGACCGGTGAGAAAACACCCTACAATAATCCAAATCATTAACTAGCTTAATCAGAAAATGCCTTATATTGAGAATGGTCACAGAAACTTCACCAATAAGTTTCAGATTGAAAATGAATTTACAAATGGCCTCAAGGGACGAACGTCGAGCTGTAAATTTACCAACAAGGGTGAACTCAAAGGGTGCAGCAAGAGCTAAGATTTCGCCTTTCGAAATCCAGAGCAACGGCATGCCACGATGTGAAGTGATTTTCAACTCAAGGAAACTCAAAGAATGAAAGTCATTAGCTAAAGCATCTTTGAAGGAATGTGAGGAAGGCATCCCCTTTAAGAAACTAGGATCAACAAGACGACCAACCATAACCACAAGCAGAGAAAATGGCACAATAGAAAATCGAATAGAGACAAGATGAAAATCATGAGAGGAAAACTTCCCTGAGGGCAGGTAGACGACGGAAGCCCGGGATGCGGCTCCAAAATTCGTCCCCGGTCTCCGCCTGCTTGTTTTCTTTTCTTCGAGGAGGAGTTTTAACGAATTTAGTTCCAGGGTAAATTTTGGGAAGGCATATGTGTTTGTAGATAAGACACTACCCAGAGATTTCGCCCTCATTTTGCTAGGACTTTATGATCTGAGTTCTGGTTTCCTATAGGCACAAGCCCCTATAGTTAATTACCCCTCCCACTAACAAGAAAGAACTTTCGATTAAGGCTAGTCGTCGATCAGATACCTAAATGTACGTGTTATCTGGCATATAGTAGCAGCATGGGCTTGGATTGAAAATTTAAAGGGTTAAAAGATCTGATATTTAAAATAGAAATTTTACCATCTTACACTTAAAGCAGATGATGGGGAAATAGATGATGGACCTGATCAATATCCCATGGTTCTGTCATCCCGGTCCATCATGGTCCCTGGTCTACTTAGTCAAAGGAGGTAGTCGACCCAACCTGACAGAATGATCCTTATCGATAGCCATGTGTTGCTTCATCCAAGGGGACCTTGTAGACCTAGGTTGGGTATTTGCCTAAGGGAATAAATTTGAATCCACCTTAGGTAACAGAGAGCTTTGTACCCTATCGATCATATACTATTGATTCATATCTCAAGGATTTGATGTCAGTAAAGAATGTATTAGCTCTGGCCATAACTATTATTTTGTGATACCATTTGGCGACAAAACCACTCAGTTCAGAGGGCCCCTGATCATAACCATTTATCTTGTAGTGCCATTTGGTGATAAAACTGCCGGTCAGAAGACATGTATCATGTCCTTAATGATAATAGATTGTTTAAAAATGGATCCTAGTGATATTTTTGAACAGTCATTAGCTTTTTGTGAGCTGAAGTATTTTCCAATTTGTCCACCTTGACAAACTGTTGTGAAGGGAGGAAGGATTTTGTTTTAAGTTATTTGATGGATAGATTTCAGTTTTAAATATCTAGATTTTGGGATTTTTTGGGAGTTTTGGATTTTATGAGTGTTTGGGTGAAAGTTTGAATTATTTGAAATGGACCCCTCCAGTTGAGATAAGTATTTAATACGGCCATCATTGGGGTGACTTTAAGGTCACTTTTATTTATGGACTGAACCTTGTCAACCCTATCAACTTGCCGATAGGGGATCGGGTTTTGTCGGCTTTGGCCTTTGTTTGTGAATTTTCTTTATTAAAGGCCTTGAAGGTCTAATATGAATGTATTAAAATAAATACATTGGTCCCCATAACCGTATATTTGTCCGATGATTCGAACCCTGTCGACTTTTATTTACCCGCTTAGGAGGATCGGGTTTCATAAGCGTTACGCCTTTATTAGTGAATTCTTTTAATTATATACCTTTAAGTTCTAATATGAATGTATATAATAAATATCTCAATCGACCTCGCAACCAGATACTTATTTAAGGGTTCGAGCCTTGTCGACTCCCACTTGCACAGGAGGATTAGGCTCGAACTTAAATTCACTTATTGACCCGTACATCATCCCTAGACGTCACATGTGTTCCTACAACATACTCACCGAGGCCCATGTGGGTTTTTAATTGCATACCCCCTTTTAGTACACTTATGTGTATGCATACTACAGTTCATGTGCGGAGGTATTTTGAAATTATTTATAAACGTCTTCTGTCCACTTGCATGAATGTTGCAGATCCTGTGGCATTTTTATAGCAGCTTGGGGATTGAGTTTCTTGCTGCTTTGTACAGGTAGACTATCGTGCACTACTTCTCTCTATTTATAAGGGATTATAGTGCACTAATGAATCTCCTACTTTCAACAGTAGGTATTGATATCTACTGTAGTTCACTTGCATTCTTCTTGTAGATGGCATGCTAAGTGTATAGCGGATTTCCTACACAAGCTTGTAGGAACTTATATTTGTTGAATTCTTTATATATTTTGTTATGATTTTGGCCCTCACGATACCTCTCCTACTATTGTAGGTAGATGTATTCATTCATAGATCAGAATTGACTATAAGATACTGCATTTAATGAAGTCTTTCTGCATCTACCCACAAGTGGCATGTGGCACACGCATCTGTCTTTGTAGAGAGCTATTGCAGATATTTTGTATTTACTTATGGACAGTATGTTGTGTATATGATGAACTTTGTAGTAGGTCTTAGGATCTCTTGTTAATTCATTTTTGTAATTAAGTTGTGTCATCTATTAAGAACATCATGTCATATCATAGGATTTGATTATGTCCAAATTTCTTTTAAGTTCAATATCATTAATCTGATTCATCATCATTTGTTAAATGTCAATACTCCTTGTGGTTCACTTGGGTTCAAGCTCAGCTTAATGTGTAATCTCAAGTCAAGTTCATGCTTGAGTTCAAGTTCTATGTCCCATGTAGTTCCAAGTATTGTTCAAGTTCAAGCTTAAATCAAGTCCTCTGTTATCTTTTGAGTTCAAATCATGTTCATATAACTTGATTTTTAAATAAATTGCAAGTTCAATTAATGTACAAATTGAGCTCAAATTAAGCTATCATTTCAATTTTATTTCAATTAAGTTCAAAATTAGTCATTTGCATTTTGTCCACAAGTTCAAGTATAAGTCTCATGTTGTCCTTTGAGTTCAATTGAGTCCAGGTACAATCTTGTGTTTACCCAAAATTTTGGCAGCCTCCTAGCGTCTCCCCTGTTTAGGGGAAAACTACGAAAAACTGGGCCTTCCCACCACGCTAAGAAAAACGTGTATGGGTCTTTAGTACCTGTTGCAAAAGAAAAGCAGTTGTTTCCCCGTAAATAGGTAATTATGGGTATCTCCACTTCGTCGTACGCATCGTATCAGGTTCCCATCCCATCACGCTAAGAAAAACGTGTATAGACAATTTTTTGGTACGCCACGAACTCCGAAGAAGGGACTTTAGGTGATCACCAGATTCGTCAAGAGCACCGCGACGAACTTCCTCCCACCACGCTAAAAAAAGCATGTATAGGTGGTCGTTTTGTCGTGTTGCAAGCGTCGAAAACGGGTTCTTGAAGTTTTAGGGATCAAAGAGTTATACCATGGCTGTGTGACGTCGGCGGAGTTGGCACAAAGAAATCAAGTTAACAATTTTTTGTATTTCTTTTCTCTTTTTTTTTTCTTTTTTTGAAAACTCCATTCTTTTTTTTTTCTCTTTTTTTATACTTTCCCTCTCTTTTTTTTATACTTTCATCCCTCTCATTCATCCCCTTTTTTTAAAAAAATATCTCCCTTTCTTTTCTTTCTGAAATCTCTACATCTCTCCCTCCCTTTTGTAGATACATGCATATATATACTTGCAAATGATAACAATGTAAATAACCAAAATCACTAAATAATCAAGACACAGACACTAAAGTAACCATGAACATCAATGGATAAATACATGGAGCATCTTACTTTTACCTTCCTCTTCTTTTGAATTAGTGGGCTGATTTGGAGGTATGTAGGCTTAAGGTAGATTTCTAATAGGTAGAGGAAATCTATTTGTAGTGGGAAAGGGCCTTTTGAATTGGGCTTTAGGTATCAGATTAGTTTGTTTGAAAGGGCTTTAAGTGGTGTAGTGGAATGGGCTAATTGAATTGTCTGGTATGAAGAGCTAGTGGGCTCTTTTCTTTTCCTTTTTAAAAAAAAAAAAAAAAAAACTGGTGGGCTTGGTTGGTGGAGGAAGTTAGAGAAGTGGGTGAAGGCTTGTTGTAGTGGTTCGGTTAGGAAGAATTTGCCCTTAACAGAGAAAGTAGGAGGGCTGTGAAGTGGATTGAAGTGTACTGGCAGAACAAGAGGTTGGAGGGGGCTTGGTCTGAGAGGAGTTCAGAGTGTTGAAGCAAGATCGATCGGAGTGTGCAAACAGTTGTAGGAGCTTTAGATCTTGCTGGACTTGAATTGTGAGAAAACCAAAGCAAAGCCGCAGCTGGTCGTGGACTACAAAGAGCATATTGTGAGTGTGGCAGGAGAGGATTTGGAAGTCCGCGGTTGTGGGTGTAGAAGGATGGATGAAGAATCAAAGCAGGTTGGAGGAGTCTTCACCCAGCTTTGAATCATGTGAATCCAACGTTTGGAGGAGCAAAGCACTGCTGATCGGACATGTATTGTAGTTGCTTGATATTGGGTTGAAGTGTTGGCTTAGGAAGAGAAAGCACGTGAAGGCTGGTTCTTCTCCAACTTGTTTGTGGTGTGGTTCACGTGGGTGTGAGGCTCGGCTCCTTCAGGTTGGGTTGAAGAATCTTGCCGAGATCTGGAGTTCGCCAATCACAGGGAATCCGAAGGTGAGATCGGAAAGCTATAGGTGTGGAGAAGTTGGCTTAAGGTGGGATGACGGATTACGGGCCGGCTCTTGAAGAAGATTCAATCTAGGTTGTTTGACCGTGTGGGAGTTTCAAAGAGAGGAGTCGTGTGATGTAGAAATCAACGACTGGAATAAGAGGCTTCAGAAGAGCAGATGAAAGCTGAAGGTGAGCGCCAACCAAAACGAGCTAGAGAAGTCTGCTTTTCTTCATTTTAACGACACCCTAAGACATTCGTTCGAGGTCAGATGTGAGATTTTATGCCACATGACGGAGGTTCAGCGAAAAATCAGGGATTTAGCAGAGATTTTCGGCACAAACGAGGTAAGGTATTAATTTTGATTTGAGTGATTTTGGGTTGAATCCATTGGTAATCCTAATAATGACTTACTCTTATTAGAAATATCATTAATTTGGGCTGCCATCAATGCACCAATCAACAACAATTGCCTTGATACACGTGTTTTCTCAATTTACGTGCATTTTGCCTTATTTTGCATGTTAATTTTGCTTTATAATTTTCTTTGTGTTAATTGATAGTGATTTTAGGGTATTAATGTTGTTTCAGACGCAACGATGGAGTCCATTTCACGATCGGACGTCATCCGAGTGGCGCTGAGGCCTGATTTCCTCGAAATACGCGTTGTCTCGAAATTCGTGTCACCCATTAGGATGATCCAAATTGAACAAATAAAATATAGTTTTTGAGTATTTATAATGTTTTGAACGCAATGACAAAGTCCGTTTATCGATCCGACATCGTTTGATCAGCCTCGTGCTTTAATTTCGGGTGTCAGTCGCCACTTTTGACTGATCTCATTGGATTCGATTTTGAGGTCTCAACCCAGAAGAATTTATTGTCCTGATCGCAATGATATCATCCATTTGACATTCGAAGGTCATTTGACCCCTTAAGTGATGCGTTTCGTCAATGCACGTGTTGCTTAAATCATCATTTTATCCTCTTTTCATATGATGTTATGTGTAGGGGTCAACAATGCCAAGCCCTAGCCATGCCTCAGAAATGTCGGGAGCAAAGCGAAGCCATAGAGAAAAGTTATTTTTGCTAGTTATGATTATGGGTTGTCTATCATTTTGAGATGATGCATCATAATTTAAGACTTGAGATGTGCTTAAATGAGTTGCTACAATAAATCTAGATGAAGCTGCTTGAGTGGTAGTCGTTAATGAGGACTTTGGGAGCATTCTAGTGATGATCATATTCTTCTTGGAAGAGAGAGACAGTTTGAGGAGTAATAGTATAATCAGAATGTTGACTAAAATAAAATTAATAATTAAAAAAGAAGAAATAAAAAAGGAAAAGAATGAACATTTTGAAATGAATTGCATAAGTCCAGTGAATAGAAGGATAGTTTCAGAAACGATGCCTTTATTCGTACAATATGTTTCCTCAATCAATAAATACATGACGAAAGAATAGGAACTTATGCTTTGTTTAGCAATCTTCAAGCCTCCACTCCTTAGTCTGCTTCTCTCCCAATTTGATGCCACTATACCATGCATAAATAGCCCCTATCTCTGCCTCCACCCTCGGAATTGAGCCTGAAGCCCATGCCACTGATCTGATTCACGAACGCTTGGTTGAATCATTTTCCATAAGCCCACCTCCTCATGCAACCGACCCTTCTGCCCGCTTTGCTCATTCGAATCCCTAGCACGCGCGACTTCACACCAAAACCTGATACGCTCGTTGACACCCTAGCCTGTTCCACTCTTCTAACACCACAGCCTACCTATTTTAAACCTGACGTCTGACCAGCAAAACCCACACACGAGACAAAGATTGCATGCCCGTCGCTTCCTATTTGCACAATCTCATGTGTAACCTTCCGTAGCCTCCAGTTTGTTGTTCTAATAAGTGAGTATTCCAGATATACGCCCCAAGTGCATCAGGATTGTTAATCAAAGGGAAATAATATATGGTTTCAGTTCGAATTATTTATCTATGATTTATGCATGCATGATCATTCCAATCGATTGTATTGGCTTTTTTTTAATTTACTTTGGTAGTTAAAAAGCAACAGTTATTTGTTAATTTCAAGACCCTACACCATTGATCTTTGATCTGGGTGGGAGAAATTTAGATTTAAAGATCGGCGATTTCCATCTATGATCCAGACGTAATTTTTCCATTTTGACTTAAGGAGAATGAACTCCTATGTCTGCAAAGCAGGATTCATGCTGATGCGTCGTTTTTCTTGAGCCAACACAAAAGTAGTAGTGATAACATGTTGAGCAGCAAGAGGATATCCAAAATTGTCCAAACAATTATTAGTTCTCAAATAGTGTTTACAATATGGAAAGGAACTATATACACAGCCACATCCACCATATCAGCCACAATGACAACAATCGCCTTTAGTACTAGCAACAAGTGCAGTATGGTTAAGGCTAGAAGAAGGCGGAGTGGGAACCTTAGTCACCCGAAGCATGCAGGAGTGAGTTGTAGAAATATTGGGTATCACTTAGTCAACAATTAATAGGGATTGAATTGACCAGAGGGATGGATGACTAAAGAGAAACTTGGCAATCAGCAGTTCATTTTGTTTTTGCCAACAACTAGGTCATTAGTAAAGGTTTGACATTGAAGAAGTTAATTAAACTTGCTTTTCAAGGTGCTACAATGGTCTTGAATAGATTTTTAACCCTATTATGAAAAAAAAAATCATAGTGGAGAGTGTATACCAAAGAGATTTTAATATCTTTGAAGTATGTGGAAAGAAGTCTCTCATTTCTTTTACATTTTTTTGAAATATGATTGTGATGGAAGGTTCAATACTTTTAAGCATCCATGTGAGAACCGCACAGCTAGAGGCCTACCATTTGGTATGCTCGATGGTTTTCCTGCCATTTGGTATGCTGGATGGTTTAGGAGCCTAAGAGTGAAAGTATTGAGTTTTTAATAAGATCGAACAAGACAATTAAAATCCTAATGCCATTGGAGGTAGTTGATACTAGAAGTTTGATTGTAGTACTAATGCTTAATTAAAAATATATTTAAGTTATAGGAGTTGAGGAAGCCATCAATGCACACCACAAAAAAGGAGGGGAATAGTCATGAAATAATTAATCATAGAATATGGAGGGGGACACAATCAATAGTAGATGTGAGGATCACTCTAACGAAAAGGCTACATCATTAAAAGAGTGAAAGGGTTGTAGGCATTAGGTGCAATAGAGGTGCTTTAGAACTATGGATACATATGTGATAGGCTCAGTAAGCATAACGAGTGATTGTGGTGAGGTTATAGGCAATTAGCATATGCGGCTACATATGAGTAGTGCAGGCTGCAATGTGTGCAATGTCAAACACGTATAGTGGTTAGCGGGCACATGCGATGTTGGGGCGGATAGTGGGTAGTGGGTGCATGTGATGTTGCAGTGGGTGATGTCGTTGAAGGAGCAGATGGTGTCAAGGCAAGATATATTGTCAAGTTGGAAAATATCGAGGAAGGCATAAGAAGAATGAAATTGCAAGAGACAGAGGGTATTGACATATGGGTGTGGTCATGATCTAATACCATATTACGATAGGGAAAATAATTTCTTGTGATTATTCTGAATAGAATGGTGCCTATATATTGACAAAGACACAATAAAATAAGATATAAATAATGCATAGTGTGTTCTCAGTTAAGAGAATATATTGCACCCTAATGACAATTAATGATATAATATCCTCATTATTGATTTTCTAATATGGTATGATAGTAGTGCCAATATAGGAGTGCTGAGAAAGAGTATTTTCTAAGAGCATTAATGGAGAATTGTCATAAAAAGCATCGATGTAGTGAGGAAAAAGTAATCAATATAATCACAATTAGAGAATAAAGACCACATAATGGTATTAATTTGTGAAAATTAGTGGATATTGTGATTTAGTTGTTGATGATGATGCATGCATGTTGGTCAGTGATGAAGAGGCTACTAAGGTGGTCAAAGGTGAGTAAAGAATAACATCTTTTTTGAAATTTTTTAAGTAAAAGTATAAATGTGCCTATGTATAGATAAGAGGAGTGCAATAAAAGAAAATACAATAATAGAGAATATCTTTAATAATGAGGAAATATTATGATAATAAATAATATAATTCTCAACTATAAATAACTTATCACATATGGTAATTTATGTAAGATAATAAAGGCATTCATGATGATGGTTATCATGAGAGCATGACTAAGGGTAATAGGTTAAGTCACTTAAGATATGTAATTCTCATTTTTACACGACACTATTGAGGTTAGAACGCGGATAGAATGTTAGTTATGAATGAAAAGTAAGATATGGACTTTAAGCTTAATTTCTTATGCTTTTAATGTTGGGCAGGATAAATTATATCAATACAAGAGAGGTGAGTTACCTTCAAAGTCATCTGTGTAATCACATTTAGAGAATAAAGACCACACACAGCTACTTATTTGTGAAAACTAGCAGAGACTATGTGCTTCAGTTGTCAACGATTATACTTGCAAGGTTGTCAAAGGTGAGTAAAGCATAACATCTTTTTTGAAACATCTTTAGTATAAGTATATATGTGCTTATGTATAGAAAAGAGGAGTGCAATTAAAGAAAATTTAATAATATAGAATAACATCAATAATGAGGAAATATTATAATAATGTATAATATAGTTATCTATTATAAGTAAGTTATCGCAAATGATAATTTATGTAAGATAATGAAGGCATTGATGATGATGGTTATCATAAGGGCATGACTGAAAGTAGCAGGTTAAGTCAATTAAGATATGATATTTTAAAATAATTTAATAAAAATCAATTTTATAAATTTGAAAAGTATTTAAATTTTAAATTAATTAATTAACAATTAGGCAAATTTAACTAGTTAAAAAGTTAAAATAATTTAAAATAGAAAAAATAATTATTAATTCAAATTAAATAATAATAATAATTTTCTGATTTCAAAATAATTTAATAAGAAAATAAATTTTATAAATTTAGAAAGTATTTAAATTTTAATTAAATTAATTATTGATTAAGTAATTTAGGTAAGTAATTAATTAGAATAATTTAAAAAGGAAAATTATTATTAATTTAAGAAATAATTAACATAATTTAAGTTTAAAACATGCATTTCAATACAGTAGTCATACAAAACAAGTAGAATCACTGGCTATTATGGTGTTTTTCAGTCTTGTATCAGTATCAGTATCATTATCCGTTGGCTCAATAAATAGGATCGTCACTCTTTGCCCGTCGGTACAGTAATCATCTCCTTATAACTCCCAATCAGTATAACGTGAATTAGTAGAGGATAACATCAAACCATATTTAAAGGAAAGCCCGTCGGCCCACCATCCTATACAAGTCAATCAGTCTCCAACCAATGGTTCAACCAGTCTTTACTTATCTTTTACACACACAGTCGTATCACAATAATATAACAGTACTTTTAATCATTTAATCACATTCATTTTCATCTCATCAATGCATTATATCAACTAGACATAATTTAGCTTAATTGAGAAAACCTTTAAAATATCGTACAATAGATATAAATCGTTGTAATTCAAAAATCATCCGGAGAAAAATCACAAATAAATACTCAAAATGTTCGTAATCACATTCTCTATAACATACCAAAAGTTACGTGGTGAAAGTTCCGTCAATACAAAGATAAGCACGTTTTTCGGTAATGAAAACACAAATCTGAGTAGAAAAATACCAAAACACAAAATCTTCGAAATTAAAAATAGGATATGGATTCCTTACTGCGAGATAAGCAATTCTTCCAACTGCGTCGACGGACAAAAATTGCTCCGCGGCCTTCGAAACCAAGTTTTTTTCTTTTCTTCCTTTTTCTTCCTCTCTCTCTCTCTCTCTCTCTCTCTCTCTCTCTCTCTCTTCAAGAACGAGTCAATCATTGTATTAAAAGTTATTTTCGATCATACGGATGATATTTACGTTCGTACCGGTACGATCGGCTCTGTACTGCATTAAGACCACATTCGTACGGACGATAATTGATTTTCGTACCAGGACAATCTCCTCTATTTTGCACTTGTTCAGTTCATACAGACTATTCGTACAGACGATTACTACTTCGTACTGGAAGATCCTACCCAAAAATCATGAAATCTGAGGGGGTTTTATAGAGCATGCTGTTGCTTATCTCAAAAGAAGCTTCACCTTACAGTGCAATCTCTATCATAAACCTATGAACAACTAATTGCTTACCCCAGTGAAGCTCTTGCTCTTGATATACGAGCATGCCCTTAGGGGGAAGGCGTGCTTATTTTTGGAAGGTTCTGTCAAAATTGATATAATTGGAGAAGTACTGAAATAAAACTTTCATATCGTATCTGATTGCAGCAAAATTGACCCCAATATCTAGTTGGAGAAGTACTGAAATAAAACTTTCATTTTATAAAATAAAAGACTACTATTGAATGCAATATAAAATAAAAGACTACTAAATCTCAATATAATTTTTTATGTATCATCCAAAACATATACAATTTGAAGTCTAACAGTGTTTTGGCGGAAGAAAGAATAACAAAATAAAAGCTAAGCCTGCAAAAATCAAAACTAACAATAATATATTGTACCACAAAATCATAGTATGCTATCCAAAACTGCTCAATTTGCTCCATACCCTTCCCCTGCCCTGAAAAATGAAAGCAAAAGTAAGAATGAGCTAATACGATTTAGTAGACTATTGCAGCATAAAATAGAAATCAATAATGAAACAAAAGACAATTAAAAATAGTGTACTGTAAAAAATAAACTGAAATATTGTACGAAAAAACTGAAACTGAAACTTAAGCATAAGCTGAAATCAAACTTCATATAACAGATTTTCATTTTACAAATGGCTCTCAATCCCAAATAAATAAGTAATATATATATATATAATATATTTATATATTATTAGTATATATATAATGCTTCGAACAGTATCCCACCTCGTTATGCGTAGGCCCCGACATAATATAATCCCACCTTGATAGCCTGCAAGCCCAGACATAATTTATATAATCTTACCTTATATAATCGCCCATCGTGCCGGCATAACAAAATCCCATCGACATGACATCATATTACATTTTCTTTCATATATTTTTTATAAAGATTCCATCAATTAAAGCATAATTAGATTAAATTCAAAAATTATCAAAACACCTCAACGGTAGGCAACATAAACATAATTGAACAAAAATTCACTGTTTCAAAATATAAATAAATTATTAAATTGTAAAATATCATTATGAAGTTTTAATTGAACTGAAATACTTTTTTTATATGTCAAAATAAAATTTTTAAAAAAGCAAAAATCACAACTTTTTAAAATCACCCAGCAACAAATTTTTTAGAATTAATATACTCAAAATATTCATAATCTTAATTTTGATAACACATAAAAAGTTACGAGATAAATTTTTTACTAAAATAAAATTATCCTTATTTTTTTATAATGAAAATACAAATTTGATAAAAAAAATTCAAAACTGAAATAGGAAAAATATAACCTACCTCGGGACGAACAAAGTTCCCAATAAGGCCGAACTAAAATGGCTCTGCAACTACCAAACTCTAGCTTTTTTTTTCTCTCTCATCACTTTTCTTCTCAAATCCTATTTTTCATTCTCTCATTGGGGAAAACGAAAAAGCAAAGTAATTTAATAAGTTTTATAAGTGGCGGGATGATATTTTTATAATATATTAATATAAGGGTATAAATATAATTATTCAAATTATTGGATTTTAAGAAAAAAAATCATACAAATCTTTTTATATCTTCAAATTTGAAGATCCAAAAATTATGAAAAAAACATTCATAAATTAAGTGAGCAGATCTAGAAAGCTTGGTTAAAATCGGTTTGTAAAACGGACACTTAACTGTCCCAGAAAGTCACTTGCACCGTCATGTGTCAATTTCTTAAAAATTTCACAACTACCCAAAAATTATATAAAAATTAATGAAACTGAAATATAATAACATTTATGTTATGGAGAAGACGGTTTGAGATTTGGACTTATTATGATTCCGAAATAATTTGTTTACTATTTCTAGGTAAAAAAAATCTTTTGTAAATTTTTGAATTATAACAGGTTCGACCAAAGGACTTGTCCATATAGGTTCGCACCATATGGGGCACTCTCTATAAGATAACTCGCTCTCCCATAATAATTATCCACAATCAATGCCACCAACATTTTGCAGATAGCTTGGATTAAGCTACAAGTAGCTCACACTTATAAAACTACAAACTCTTCATTAATTGAATTCATCCCTAGCTTATTACCACTTCTCCCCATAGGACTTGCAAAATACTTCTTAGGACTCTCCACTTATTCCTAGGGAATCACCTTTATAAACGTGCCCTACATTATAATTGTCGTACATGCCCAAAGTATTCATTCCCTACCCAGGATCACATGTGCACCACTTAGCTTAGTTCACATGTCTAATCAATATGTACTTGTCACATCGTATATATATATATTTTTTAATTCAAAGTGTAGCATTTAATGTAGCCCTCTCGAGTCCCGATCTTTTATATATATTGAATGAATATGTTTATTTTGAACTATACGATGTTTCAATTATTAAGAAATATACACGAACTTCTTATTTATTTTTCATACTTATTCATTTTCTCACTCAATTCAATATTAAAGAAAACAATAAAGTTATTACTCTTCATTCTAAATAATTTGTTATTTATAAATAGTTTAATGGCGTGTTTAATTACAAACTTTCTTTTATTATAATTATTTATGCTAAAATATTATAAATATCTAAATTGGATAATTTACACAGAAATTTTTGTATTTTTATTTCAATAATATATTGTTTATGATTTTCTATAAAACATTTTAGCCGTCGCCAACTTTTTGGATTAAAGCCTGATTAATTATCGGTTAATCAAGCTGATTAATTACTAATCGATTACTTATATAGTTTATTTAATGCTGATGAGGAGATTTGAGCAAGAGTTGGGGAAGACAGACGAGAAGATGGAGTGGGAGAGCTCCGATTCTCACAGTGTTTTGCGTCGTCACCTTCTTGAGTTTCTCATCGACTCTGCCCAGGTAAAACTAAAATCTAGTACTGAGTCTCCTCCGCAATCCCCAGTTCGCAATGGTGAAAATGATTAAATACTTTTCCACCGATTCCAATCCTGAAAGCAACTCCTTGTTCGTCCAATCGTCAAATACACCGCGCTTTCCTTCTTTGCCGATCGCTTCTTCCCTTCTGTCTCTCGCTCCAGGTTTCTCATCGTATTCTTCTTTTTTCGTTTGTTTGACGTTTCATCGTGTCAATTAATGCGTAATCCTCGAGATTTTGTCCCGGCAGGAAACACAATTTGTTCGACGTGGCCAAATGTGAAAGGAACTTCTGGCTTCTGAATCCTTTGACGGAGAGCAACTTGCAGCTCTTCGCTCTAGTTTCAATTTGGGTTTCCAGCAAAGTAAATCGCACCTTTTTGTTTACCATTTTCCCATAGTTTTTTTTTTTTTTTAATCTTTACTGTTCTTTTGTTTATTATATGTGCTGCAGTTGCATGAAACTCGGCCCCTTTCAGTAAAGAGCTTAAAGAGCTTGGGGGATATGCTCATCAGTGATCAGTGTTTCACGACTCGGGATTTTGCCATGGCCGTGAGTGTGCTTCTTTGTAACTTCGATTACTGTTATGTGTTGATCAGATTATTATATTTTTAACTGAAACGGATGACATGTTACCGTTGCTCCATGGATCAAATGTTTATATACTTCAAATATGTAGTTTGTTTCTATTTGAAGTGTATTTCCTTTAAAGATCAAATGCTTTAAAATGATGATGATCATCATCATTAGCCTTATCCATCTACTTTAGGTCTATTTTATGAGTCCCCACTGTTCATTCACTTAAAGATAATATCTTAATCTATATATATATATATATAAGTACGTAAACAAGTATATATGATTCTTTACAATTCTGGACGCTGTACAACTTGATCTATATACAACACTACTTTTTATAGACTTTGAACATGTATACATAACATTCATAGGTACATTCTAAAGACTTGCAGGAATGTAAAAGTTGAAAGAAAATCATTAGTATAAATATAGTGTAGTAGTTGTGTAATATTCTTAAAGAGCTTAAGTGTACCAACATATAGGAAAATGTATGACATTCAGAGTACATAAATTAGGTGTGTCAAAAGTTGACACGACCCAAAAAAATTTGGGTTTGGGTCAACCCGTTTGTAAAACGGGTTAGGTCCGGGTTCGAATATCTGACCCGTCTGAAAAATGGGTCAGGTTCGGGTTGACCCAAAAACCCAATGTTGACCCAGCTAACCCATATCCCGGGTGATGACATAGCTCAGTCACAAGTTGCATGTTTCACGCTACTGCGCCCCAACGCCTGCTAAAGTGGAACTCCGAACTCGCCTGCGCTGCTAGTTGCACGTTATTGTGTGATTTTCTTTTACATCCCCAACAATCATACCCTTAAGACGTATGCATTTTGATTTGGTAGCAGAGCTTTGGATTGTCATATTATCAACTAGAGGTCGGGCATGATAATTAGGTAATTTAACAAAATAATAAAATGATGCAATTTAAATTAAATTAAATTTATTTATTTATGATTTTTTATATTTCCAATATGACTACTAGAAGATTAAGAATTATATTTCTACATTTGGTGAGATGTATGATTTTAGAGTAATTTCACATTGGATATATAGCTTAGTGGACTATGTTAGTGGTGTAAACAAGTTGAGCCGAGCTTGAGTCACACCAAACTAGAGCTCAGCTCATCCAATCAAGGGTATGCTCGAAATTGAGCTTGGGCCAGAGTCGAGCTTGTGTATTGAGATGGAGTTCGACTTATTGGATAACGACTTTAACTTATGCTTTATTTTCTTGGGCCGGGAGACAAGTGGGATGTCTAGCCAAGAAAGGATGTTAACCTAGTAGAAATGAGATTTAACTTAAGAAGGGAAGATACAAGTGACTCACGAGCCAACGTGTCAAGTTCGGTGGAGGTCAAACTCGAGCTCTATGTCATATGAGTTGTAATCTGAGCTCGAGCTCAAGCGCTTAATTCAACAAGCTCGATTTGCATTTTCGTTAGCAAGTTGAGTTCGAGCTGACTTAGCTCACTTACACCCATAGACTCAAACATAATATGTCTAATTCTCAAATATTTGAAAGTTTTAAAATAAAAATGAGTAGACCTCTTTATCGATTTTGGAAAAATGTTGTTACTACCACAAAATATACTTTGGTTGATAGAAAGCATAAACATAAAATAATATTTTCATTTAGTTATTGTAGGGGCCAACTACATGATAATTTTAAGAACTTTGAACAAGGTGACTAGGCTATTTTTGAATATTTATAAGGTTTTAAAATCTTGTAGCCAAATATTATTTTGTTAGAGATTCCTTTGGTTGTATTCTATTTCGTTAAAGGTCTTAGGCAAGAAATTAAGCATGAATTAAGCCTCAATTCATCAAATAAATTAATGAATACTTAAGATGGATGGTGGTGGGCGGATCTTGAGAATGCACTCTCTTGATTTGATAATGACGTATGGCATTATAATAGATATATTAGAGAACTGTGATGACAAATAAGGTTGGGTTTTAAGTGACTGTTGATGTCGGCCAAGAGTTGGAGGTGGAAGTGGATTTATTTGTGGAGGCTTGAAGAGGGGATGGGCTTGGATATGGTTTGATTTAAGTGTGGTCATGGAGTGGTCTAATAGGGTTTATGGGCCTGAAGGGAATAGGGGAGGCAGTGGAAGAGAGTATGATTTGTCAACTAGATTGTTTTATTTTTCATGTTTTTAAGTTTCTACAGCTACTTGTTATTTCTAATTAAAAAATTATTAAATCATCATTTGTATAGATTTTTTTATTTTTTTTAATTTTCCTGTCAAGTAACATATAATTATTAAATTTTAAGTTGTGAACCTTGAAGTTTCATATGCTTGTTCCATGATTTTGTGCATCTCATACTAGTTACGTATTAGAAACCCTAATATTAAGATGTCCTACATCCATTAGATTTATCACATTAAAAAAAAAAATAAAAAATTTATCACATTAAAAAAAGAAGCTTTATCTCATAGTTATTTGGGTTTGACTTTATAGATCGTCTTTCTTTATTGCTACCTTCGATTATAACTCTATTTTGGGTATATCTTTTGTCAAACTTTTTGTTATGTTGTTATTCATCTACTCATTTTTCTTCCAAATTATTATTTTATTTACTCTCATCATTGATGCTTCTTTTACTCATTAATAGAAATGCTTCAGAATAACATTGTCCTTTCTTCCTGTCAATACCAAGTTGTGAATTAATTTGTGCTGCACTAGCGGGTCTTCAAATTGGACACATTTTGCTGAATCCTATTGACCAAACTATGGATTTTGCTCAATATATCAAACAAAATTGCACATTTAACCAATATTGTTTGGTGGTGTTATTATTCCGTGCTTTCTCATGATTGATGGATTTTTATTCCTTTTTTTGCAGGAGAGGCTCTTTTTGGAGGTATGATCCTCTAAAGTGGATAAAAATATTTCTTGGTTTGGTTATTTTTTTTGTACAGAAATAAAATTGGCATCCCATATTTCAAAGTCAAGTTGGTTGTTGTTTAGATGACGCAATTTGACATTGGTGCATCTCAAGTTGCTTTTATTTTCCTCGAAGAGCTTCTCATGCAATTCAGGTGATTGCCTGATTGAGGTTCTTTGGTTTAGCATTACTATCGGGAAAGATTAATCTTTTTTAATTATTATTGTTTCACGTATCGTCCTGTACTGGGATTACAACTAAATTATAAAATTTAGGGAAAGCTATATCAGATGTTAATGGTATATGCTTTAGACGACTAAAGGTTGACAAGGTTGCACGGGGTCAATAAGATGATGCTTACACAAGTTTTGGCATGTCCCTTCCCCTAAGTTGGCCTATTTGATCGACCCAAGCCAAAGTCAGGTTGGGTAACCAATCAACATTCAATAATGGTGGTATGACAATGGTGATAGTTTGTGATGTTTCTAATCAACAAGCAAAGTATGTTGCATTATAGATATCAATGTTATGAACCCAACAAAGTTAACTAATTGAAAATCTATTGGTTAAATTGTTGGGGGAATTCAAAGAAAGTTTGCGAATCAAATTTATCGTTGCCAAAAAAAGTTGATGTAGGCCTAAATTTTTTTATCATTGTTTGTCTCCTTAAGAGAATCACACGTTGCATATGGGTTGCACATTACAGGCCTATTGAGGTCACAATAGTTCTTGGAAGTTCATATCTAATTGGATAAACTATGAGAAGGCAGACACATCTTGGGATGATTGGACTCGTAGAATGCTTGTTTGTAGAGAGAGAATGTTGGAGGGCTAGATGGATGGCCTTCTTAAGGTGCGTTGATGTTGTGTGTGATTTGTGTGATGTGGGAAGGTGGGGGCAGTCTTGCCCCTATACCAATTTGGACCGATGCACCTAGGGTCAATTAGGCCAGCTCAAGCCCCAAAGATGCTAGAATTCAAATGTGTTTAGTCTCCTTCAATTTGTCACGACTAAGCAAACATGTTGACTATAAACTTTTGTTGTTTGGAGTTCCTTTTATTCTCACTATAGTATTGAAGTTTAATATGTAATTTGTTAAGATCTTTTGATTTTATTTAAATTTCTCAAGTGCATGCTGATAGGAATCACTTATAGGAATTAGAGTTTTTCTTGCTAAATCTAAATTTCAGCACTTGCAAAAACAAATTGGAGAAGAATTTAGAAGAAATAACAAAAAATAAACATTTTTAATTGATAAAACATGGAAGAAAATGAACAATATACAATGGATCCTCAATTGGAGAGGAGGATCCGTCTCTGCCAATCTCTAGCTGGTGGTTAGAACCCAAACAAACCCTAGTAACTATCCAAAATTCAGCAAACATCAAGATAACCCTAACCCTAGACAATCTCATATATTTAAAGCATACAAATACAACTCCGATTCACTAAACAACCCCTCCCTAAATCAAAACCTGCCTAAACCACCCCCACATCTTCAAGTGATGGGCTCCACAAGGGGGCCAGCGGCTTGGTTGGCCGCCTAGAGTAAACCAGCCCTAGGGCTGGTTCAGTCGGCCCTCCTGGGGCCAGTCTTGCCGATCTATCACATGCTTAGTATAAAAAAATTATGCTTGATTAGATGGGGATTTTTATGATCCCAACAATAATATGTTATGAATAACAATATAATTTACTACTGTAGTGAACTTACATGAAGTTTTCTTATTATTATCAATTTTATTTAAATGGCATGCATTTGACCTTTTTTTCATCTTGTTTGAACTTGAGTGCAGGGAGTTATCAAAAGTAGGGAGCCTTGTAAGCCTTGAAGTTTGCATGGAGATCATGGATCTTCTTTATGAAAAAGAACAGACTTCAATGCTTTTCAGCTCTCCCCATGCTCTTGCTGCATCAATTCTTGTATGTTTGGGTATATATAGTCATCATTCTTTATTTCTCTTCTAGTTTCTATTCGCATATTCTATATTGTTGCAAAATTTTGCAGGTAGCAGCGTACTTTTTCACGGTGCCTAAGCAGCAATGGGAGTTCCCTCTTCTTCCATGGGGTAGTGGTTCATCCACCGCTTTTCTGACTGCTTACATGTTTACACAATAGTAAATGTTGAGCAACTATCTTAATGCCTTCTTGATATTCTATGATACTTTTTAACCTTTTCATGAGTGAATTGTATTTAAGGACTTTTTTCCTTTGACTGAAACTTTTCTATAAAATCTTACAAGAGATACTTAAAACTAACTAATATTCATTAATCTCTTCATACATTGCCTTTCATGACTGTTAGGGCATGAAGAATTTGAAATGGAACAGTAAATATGAACTGCCACTCAATCCAGCTACTATATTGTGCATTGATAAGCTCATAAGAATCTAGTATATAACAGTGGTTTTTCTTCCATTTTCCTTGTTTAGGATTGTATCTTTTGGATAGGGCAACAAGAAGGATGTTAAAGTTCTATCTCATCGTTAAGAGGGGTAATTTAATTAGAGGGGCTTGCACCTATAAGAAACCTGGAAATAGATCATAAAATCTTAAAAAAAATAAGTGTAAAGTCTTTGGATAGTGTCTTTTTTGCATTTTTGTTTACCTTCTGAAAATTAAATCCTGAATAAGAAACTCTCTTAGAGCCAATGCAAATTTTTGGAGCCTGCAAAGACATTATGTAGAGTTATTAAGGAGAGGTAATGAATCCTTTCCAAAGATTGGAAATAGAGATCCATCAACAATGATGGCGGGAGGAAGAATTTGTATTATAAGTGATGAAAATAATTATGGGTTGTCTATCATTTGAGATGTTGCATCATAATTTAAGACTTGAGATGTACTTGAATGAATTGCTGCAATAAAACTAGAGGAAGCTGCTTGAGTGGTAGTCGTCTATTAGGACTTTGGGAGCATTCTAGGGATGATCATATTCTTCTTGGGAGAGAGACAGTTTCAGGCGTACTAGTAGAATTAGAATGTTGACTAAAATAAAATTAATAATAAAAAAAGGAAAAGAAGGAAAATTTTCTAATGAATACACCGCCGCATAAGTCTAGTGAAAATAAGCATCATTTCAAAAAAGATGCCTTCATTCGATACAATACGTTCACTCAACTGATAAATACATGATGAAAGAAAAGGAACTTATGCTCTGTTTTGCAATCTTTAATTCTCCACTCCATATTTCACCTCTCTCGATTCAATGCCCCTATACTACGCGTGAATAGCCCCTATCTCTGCCTCCGCCCGCGGAATTGAGCCCGAAGCCCGTGCCACTGATTTGATTCAATAATGTCTGGCATAATTGTTTGCCGTAAGGCCACCTCATGCAACTGACCCTTATGCCCGCTTTGCTCATTCGAAGTCCTAGCACGTGCGACAACCTGCTCCACTCGTCTGACACCACAGCCTACCTGTTTTAAACCTGATGTCTGACTAGCAAAACCTACACACGAGACAAAGCTTGTGTGCTCGTCACCTCCGATTTGCACAATCTCATGTGTTACCTTCCGTAGCCTCCAATTTGTGGTTCTAATACATGAGTATTCCAGATATACGCCCAGGTGTATCAGGATTGTCAATCAAAGGGAAACAATATCTAGTTTCAGTTTGAATTACTTATCTATGCTTTACACATGCACGATCATTCCAATCGCTTGTATCGATTTTAATTTTAATTTTTAATTTACTTTGGTAGTAAAAAGAAACATGATAATTTTAAGACCCCACACCATCGATTTTTGATCTAGGAGGGAGAAATTTAGATTCGAAGACCGACGATTTCGATCTATGATCCAGGTGTAAATTTTCCAATTTGATGACCCGCACCATCTATATTTGATTTGGGCTGATGGTTTTAAGTTTTAAGGAAATGCACCATTAATTTTTAATCCGGGCAGATGAATTTGCTAAATAGAAGATCTTTCGCCGTTGATCTTTGATTCGGGCATAAATAAATAATGGCAAGTGCTGCCCCGACCTCCCCGCTAGGGGAGGGGACATCAGGAGGTTGCCGAAATTGTCTTAGGAGACTACTGATTGTAGAGTGATGAGGTAGAGGTTAAAATTCGGAATATGTGATTGTAGAGTCAAATTTTGTGATATTTTTTAACGCTCTTATAGATTTTCTTGGTTATCCTTTATCAAAAAAAAAAAAAGGCTAAAGATTGAGCATTTAACTCAATCTGCAATAACTAGTAGCCTTAGGATTATTAACTTCAGAATAATGGCAATTTAAGGGTGAAGGACACCATCTTCAAGCTTTTGGAACCCCTCTAGTTTACTAACGTCGGCTCATTGGTTATTTTTAAAGAGATTTATTATAGGTTTTAAGGGCTTTTTAGGTAATAACTGATAACACTTGGTTAACGTATGCAATATAAAAAAAAGTTTGTACCACTTGTTCATTAAGTCCTGTAAGTTGTGTGCTAAAAACTGACTGAATTTATTGGTTTTGCGTCTCATTAAGTTGTAAATATGAAAGAGCAATTGATCTGTCTTCAATCTAAGGTACATGTATATGCTTGTATGTATGAAAGAATATACTTATATTTCTGTATATATTTAGATTTAAATTAATATATGTATTCATTTATCATCATCATTATAGCCTTACTCCAATATTTGGGATTGGTATTATGAATCCTTATTTTTCATTCGTTACTAGTGAGTAAAATCGAAGGTGTTTGGTTTTCGTAAATCATTTGGAATAATTTCTATCCATGTAGTTTTATTTCTACTTATTTTCCTTCCTAATCCTTTGGCACAAATTTAATCTTTGTATTGAGCAAAATTTTTATTCTTTGTTGCATATGTCAAAATTGCCTACATCTATTTTCAGTCATCTTATTTTCAATAGATGCAAATAATAAAATTATTTCTTATTTTTGGCATTTTTAATTTTTTGACACATCCATCTTATTGTTATTATATCTATCACATTCAACTTAAATATAAATTATATCGTAACATTCAAATCCATGTAATATTATTTGCCTAATTGAAGTCTTGTAAAATTTAAATTTATATTCTATAATATCCTCTATCATAAAAAAATTCTCAAGTATTTTCCCCATTTTTAATAATTCAATCTTAATTTTAAAGTTATATCCTCTTATATATCTTCTATTTTTTATCTAATAGATCAAAGATACTTAAATTTATCACACCTAAGTATCATCTTAGCTTCTAGTAATATTAAATTATAATTTATTAACATCATACCCATTGAAATTACATATCACATACTTTATTGTTGCTCTACAAATTGATGAGGATATCAGAGATCAGCGGCTACGATTTTAAGTTTATTTTTTTTTTATGTGTTTTATGTACTAGTTTATTTTATATTTCTATTTTTTTTCGTTTTACCCCTAGGGATGGTCATGTGGTGGTGTTGCCCAAAGGGCATTTTAGTTATTATTTCTTTTCTTTTCATGAGGCCTATTTATAGGCTAGTTCTCTTGTATTTTGAGTTAATGATGAATATGAATAAAAAATTCAGTTTTCTTGTTCTTGATCTATTTGTGAGTTCTTAAGAGGAGAAACCCTAGGAGAGGGCCACACATCACCCGTCAGCCGCCGGTGTGAAAGCCATTTTTTCCCTCCAGGATCGTCCGGACGAAGTGGGATCGTCCGGACGAAGTTGGATCGTCCGGGACGATCAGTTCAAAAACTTTGGACAGAGAGGTTCGTCCCAGGACGAAGTCAAGTTCGTTTGTACGAAATTTCTCCAGAGAGCAACTCGTCCTGAGACGATAATAATTTTGTCTGAACGAAATTTGTCCAGAGGGCAAATCGTCTCGGGACGAATAGGATTCGTTCCGTACGATCCACCTTTATAAATATCCAAACAGTCATTTTGGAGAGAGAGAAAAAATCTGAGGAGAGAGAAAAACGAAGGAAAAATGAGAAAAGTGGATTTTGGGCGACTTCAGTCCGTTTTCGTCTGTCACCGTAGTTGGAAAAGTTGACCGACTTGAGGTAAGGCACATTCTGCCTTTCTCAATTTTCAGAAATGTGGATTTTGACTACTTTTCTGTTTCGAATTTTGTTTCTGTTAGCGAATATCTGGTTTCATTTCGTATTGATAAATGTTTTACCGCGTAAATTTTGGTATGTTTCTGAGATGATGTTTTTGCACGTTTTGAGTATTTTCTGGAAAATTTTTACCGGTGGTTTTGAATTCTGCAGAGTTTTAATCGAATAATGAATTATCTGGGTGTTGAAAATATTTCCTTCAGTACAATGAAAGTCTTGAAATGATGTTTTCTGCTATCTATGGTAATTTGATAAATTTCTGAAATAGTGAATTCTGTGGAATTTTCGTATACTGTCGTTATGTCGCTGACGATTTTTCTGACGAAATCTGATTTCTGAATTTGATGATTTGATGTGTTTGTATGCTAACAAGGGAGTTATAAGGGGCCAGAATCCTTCGAGATTCTGTCAGGGTCCGGGAATCCGAAATCTGAAATCTGAAAACAAGTTCTGATATGATAATTCTGTATCTCTGATATGTTCTGGTGCTGTAAGCACATGGGAGACATAAGAGGCCAGAATCCGTTGAGATTATGTCTGTGTCAGGGAAGGGAGGCATAAGGGGCTAGAATTGTTGAGATTCTGTCTGTGTCAGGGAAGGAAGGTATAAGGGGCCAGAATCCGTTGAGATTCTGTCAGGGTCCGGGAATCTAATCTGATATGTGATATGTGATATGATCTGTTTTGACAATGTGATTATGATTTGTACGATTCTGTCTGTTCTGTGATTATGATTTGTACAATTCTGTCGGTTCTGTGATTTGAAGATAATTCTAATTTGAAATCTGATTTGAATATTCTGTTATACGAAATGAATTCTTATGTATCAGTGATTTGAATATTCTGTTAATCAAGTATCTGAATTCTGTCTGATTAGATGATTTTCTGTACGATTATCTGAATTCTGTACGACTACTTTTTTGATGTATTTTGGATGTGGGTTTCTGGAGATTTTGATTGGCTGGTATAGTCTTGCTGAGCTATTAGCTCATTCTTGTTATCTGCGTGGTTTTCAGGTTCTGGGAAAGGGAAGGAGGTCTTGGACTAGCCGTTCAGTGTTTGATCTGAGATTAGGTATTTTGTACTTTTGATTTTTGTACAGTCATGAATTTTCTGTTCTGTTCTATTCTTTCTGTTGGTAGCCATGCACTGTAATGTACATGATTATTTTGATGAAAGAAAGAATAAAATTTCTGATGAATTTCTGTATATTTGGATGTTTATAGTAGCTTTGTGTTTTCTGTGTGTCTGTTTATTTGGAAGAAAGTATGAAAGCAAATTCCAAAGCTAGATCCTGGATTGTTCCGTCGCGGCCCGACGCGAAGGGATTCGTTCCGGTCGGGTTAGGTCGTGACAGCCGGTAGATTCTGGGACTCGCGGTTAGTACTCGTAGTATTTTCTTATTGTCTCTTCCTTTCCCCTACATCCGACCACCTCTTTTTCCCCAAACACCCGCCGGCCCCTTTAAGTCCCCAAGCTGCCGATCAACCTCAACAAGATTCCTTCCACTTAACTCACACCCCTTCCTCCTTAGCCAAACACCACCCAAACCCCAAACCCTAACCATTGGACTTCCCCTCCCATGGATCCAAAATTGATTGTCTTGTCTCTTTTCAAAAGTGGAGCATGAAAATTAGGAGGGAGCTTTAACTCAAAATATGATTTCAAATTCATATTTTGAATTCTTTACTAAATTGACATAATCCATATTAGGAAAGTGTTCAATTCGTGGATCTAAGTTACCTAGCCCAAGCCCTTGGCCGCCGGCTTGAAGCCTTCACCCGCCGGCCCATTGCTCCACCACCTAAAGCCGCCGGCCACATCCTTCTCCCCCACAATATCCGCCGGCCACATAATTCCCTCCAAAATTTTGAACTCGAATCCACCATACATGCTTTCTTAATTTAGCCCCACTAATTTAGGACGAGAATTAAATTCAAAATCAAAATATTTGAATTTCAAAACTCTTTTTAAATTCTCCTCCTTTAATTTAGGAAAACCTCCCAATTAACTTAAATCTAAAATTAATTTCAAATTTAAGTATTCAATCCCCTTAATTACTTGGGCCCACCTCCTTAATGCCTAACCCCTCTCTCTCTCTCTCTCCTCTCTCCTTGGCCGGCCCCTTCTCCCTCCTCTCTCTAATTAATTAGTTCTCATAAATTAAGGATCTAATTAATTCAAGCCCATCCCCACTTTCCTTCATAATTCCCACTCGTTTCAAATTCAAATTTCAAGTAAATTACTCTTTAATTACTCACTAAATCTGAAATTATTTCCAGATTTAATCATTTTCCCTTCTTCCCCTTTGCTTGGCTAAACCTACCCGATCCCTTCCCCCTCTCACTCTCTACTCTCTCTCTTAGACAATCATGCATGGCCGACCCAAATGTTGATCATGGGTTTGTAGAGGATTCTTTGGACCGGACCAACATTCTTTGATCTCCATTCTTCGATTTCAATTTGGACGTCGATGACTCCGCGGAAAGCTACATTGAACGCATCATCTTCACGTTGGCACCGTCAATTGAGGAACACCTCCCAACCGGATCTTGGATGATTGTGGGACATCAACCAATCCATCTGTCGCCATCTACCTTTGGTGAACTCTTTCCCTCACTCTTTATTTTTCTCGTTACTTTCAATTATGGAATTTAATTGATTCACTGAGATCGTGTTAGTCCTCCGATAAAGCCTAGTAAATTATAGAGTTGTGTGAGGGATCCTTCATAGTATTAATCTCATTGTTAGTCTAGGAATTTCTTGTTGAAACTTTTCATATATGCAATGTTAGACTAATTGATTATTTTACAGGCTTAACTCCTACACATGTGATTTAGCCTAAGCTTATGCCACTGCTCTTTGTGTTTTATGTTGTCTCTCGAAATCACTATAAAGATATAATTATTATGCTCTAAATATTAAATGTGCAAATTCCTTAATCTAATCATCCTTGCATGTTTGATTGCACATCAGTAATTCTAAGGCATTTTATTACTTTCAATGGCTATGTCACAAATTAGAATTACACCATCTACAAAAAGCATATAGGCATTTCTTCGAATATCTTTTGTAAGCTTCTTGATAACTAATGCAAAAGATACAGACTCAGTATGGAACCTTGATGTATATCTATGGTAATTAGAAACTTCTGACTTACTCTACAACTACAAATATTAGCTTGGGCTCCATCATATTTATCCTATAATGTCAATATAATTTTGACACACCTTTCTGCCTTAATGCATATCAAATTAATTCTAATAGTACTGATCCTATGTCTTCTTATACAACCACAACAACATCAGACATTTATCCCATTGTAGGGTCGGTCCCATGAATCCTTTTTCTCCATTGTGTCATGTTAAGAGTCAAAATAATGGATCATGCCTTCTTATGATCAATAAAATTCATATTTAGATTGTTTTATCTTATCTATGCTTCTCTTTTAATTATCTTAAAACAAAAAAAAAAAAAATTGCTTTCATAATACACCTTTTTGGTATGAAGCTTAATTAGTTATTTGATCATATATTCCAGTAATCATGTTCATAGCTTTGTTGTATGAATCATTAGTTTAATTCTTCTATTAAACAGTTAACTGAATTTTTTAAGGATGAGACCTTTGGCTCAAAAAAAAAATTCTTAGTTAAATTATTGTAATATCTCTCAAAAAATATCCAAATATTGATAATTATTTCTTCTGGACCTAAATTCCTATATTTATACATCTTTTTTAGAGCCACTACACTTCATTTTTGTAATCAATCTATAATTTGCTTCACTACATAATTTGTTATGCTCTTCTAAAATAATTTTTCAAAGAATTTTTTTTCATCTTTCTTTATTGTCTTCATATTTAACAAATTGAGTAAACAATATAATTAGTCATTTAATGATTTTAAAAAATGTGCATTGCAAGCGTGCCCTTGTAATTTTTTAGTTGTAGATATTGATTGTATACTTGCACTCCTTCCTCGCATTAGAATTTCTAGCTATTAAGCATTTCATGTTCTTTTCTTTGAAAATAGTGAAAAAAATAATAATCAAAAGCTATCATACCACAAAAAGCATAAGTTGATTAATACATACCAGAAAGTAGCTAATTGCTAGATTAATAAATTTAAAAAATAATAAGAAAATGTTCATGTACATTAATATAACATAAGCCTTTTCATTTGCATATTAGTATAGTAGCGTCAGCGCAGCTAATAGATGTTCAATTGCATTCCTATTTAAGCAGATTTATAACTAAATATTCCTCTTATAAGCCTTGATCTAATTCCTTTGTACTCACCTAGTGAAGTTTGCCACCTCCTATGAAGAAGCAGATATTGGAGCGCTGGTTCATTATATTCTAATGCATGTACTAGCAGCTGAGCCAACAGATTCAACTTTATTCTGAACATTCTCTTTTACTGTCCTCCATCGAAGTGCAGCAGGTATGTTGATGTACTGTGCTTAAAAGATTCTTGATACTCATTGAATGAAAGCTTGGTCTGCTTATGGAAGTATCAGTATATATATATATATACATATCTTGAGGGAGGAGATACATATACTGTATGGTATTTTCAAGCGTCTCTAATAAAAACGAAAGATCGAGTGATGGCTTGCCTGGAACTTTCAATTAAAACACTATAACATACATAGCTCATTTTGATGTATTGGTTGAGAGCTTAGACAATTAATTAAAAGGTTTTGAGTTTGTAACTTGCATATGTGATGTGCATGTGAATTTCTCTTAGTTGGGTCAGAAGTTAAAAAATAAATAAATAATTAAAATATGATATAAATTATAAGAAATAAAATGATATCAAGAAGAGTTTTTAAGTTCAAAATAAGAGGAATTTCTATTAGATTTCTTTTTTTCTCTTACATCAAAATGACGAGACTCAATGCATTTTTATACTTGTACAAAGATAATTTTAGAAACACATTCTAGAGATTTCCATAATAAAAGTTCAACTACCAACCACCAAAAGTTATTTCATTTTTTAGATATTTCTTCCATACAATTTCTTAGGTTTACATTTTCAACACTCCATTGTTCGTGTTCGCGAGTTTTCCACGAGTTTTCCATGGTTGGCCGCTCATAGCTTACACTTCATCACCCCTAGCTCTCTCTTTAGTCGCAAGCTTGCCAGTTGATTTAAGCAAGCATGTTAAAGTTGGAAGTTGAAAGCTTCATCTTCGGCACACAAAATAGGAAAAATCAGTTTTTTTTTTTCAAATGAAATTTACAGTGTTGTGATGGCATCTTCTGCTACTTCTATGAGTATTGAGTAAGAAATTGCAACTGATACATAGTTTAGGCCGTTTGGCTGCATTTGTATCCTGCAAATTCTGTAAAAGACTGTTTCTATTTTATTTTCTGAAATGAAGTTTATGCTAAGAAATCGAGCGATGTTACGGATTTGGGATTTACGTGTGCATTGCATTTATGTCATATTACTATGTTAATTTTATTAATTTTTAATGAACAAAAATGACATGAATCCTTTAAGAAATTGTGTTAATGCTAGGGCGTCCCCTGGAAGCGACGCGCTGTATGGCCTGAATACAGTGACAAGTGTGCAAGGGCCGCTGCACCGGCGCCCAGGTGCAGTGTTAAATA